TCTATCTGGAAAAGAAAAGTACAGTTAGGTAACCAGACAGCCAGACGCAGTGTTTGGCCTGAGCTCTGTATAATCTTGTGCTGAGCAGCAGGAACTCTTCTAATACATGTTTTTAAATGTTCCATACAATGAGACACAAATTTACTTACAAACCATTATGTTTTTATCACAGAAAAATAATAAAAGAAGCAACAAAGAGATGAATGCAAAAAAAATCAATAATACTATTACCCAGAAATAGCCATCATTCTTTAATTTTTGTAGAGATTTATATGGTAATTTGCATACAGAGGAGGGTCTTTCTGTATTTCTACACAAAGATATATGACCATGGTTCATGATGAAATAGCTTTAATGGATTATTTTCAGTAATTTAGAGTAGTCCACATCAGTAGAATTTGTTGGTTAGGACTGTTTACTAGTGAGCAAGTTTACCAGGGTTCACCTCAGTTGTGCACCTTACAAGCAGTGTGCCCTGGATCAAGATACTTGTCTTAATTAGCTCTGAAGTGGAGAAAATAATGGTGTCTCCACACAGGTATGTGCAAGTATAGAAAAATTCATATATTTAATGCCTGGTGTATGGCATGGTAAGCCCTCAACAAACGTTGAAGGCATGAGGCTTTCTTGAAGACCACCAAACATAAAAGCAAAGAATGCTTGAAGAAGAAAGAGAAGTTACAAATGATTCTAACTGGACAGCCCTTGGTCAGTGTGGACCACTCTTTCAGGCTGAACTTTCCTCCTAGGAGGATAACTGCAGCTTTTAGCAGCTGCTGTGACCATAGATTATTTGAGGGGATTTCCATCTCAAAGAAAACTTAAGAATCAGGAATTAAAAAGGAATTAGAGATGAATCAGTATTATTCTAAAGTAAAGATGTAACACCTACCTTGGCCCTGTTTCTCCAAAGTCCTTGTCCTGTCTGTCAGGGAATAAGACAGTTTCTCACTGTTGACCCTTCTCCCCCTGAAGACCATAAGACTGTTGGATAAGAAGCAGCAAGAGGGGCTGGGGTTGTGGCTCAGTGGCAGAGCACTTGCCTGGCACAAATGAGACACTGGGTTCCATCCTCAGCACCACATACAAATGAATAAATAAAATAAAGATCTACAACTAAAAAAATATTTTAAAAAAAGAAGCAGCAAGGTAGCTAAACTCTAACTGGTATTTTTCCACAGGACTCAGGGAGAGGAATGGAGGGTATGTGGGCCAGGAGAAGGCAAAGGCAACCATCTGCAATGACTGCATCTGACTTAGAGACAAACGTCTAACAAACTACAACAATCTGGGCCACAGGGATGAGAACAATCTTTGTTGTTGTTGTTTTATGAGGCATTTTATCATTTATGTTCTAGTTTTTTGTTCCAAGAAAAAGTCTCCATCTATGGAGGAAAATTCCTATACTGTGACTGAAATCTACCTTATTTTTTAATCCAATCCCTCATGTAAATAAACACCAGTGATAAAAATGCTATGCTATCTGCTGATCAGTATAGAGACTGATATTAGATTGATAGTTTCCCGATGGCTGCCCTGTAACCACCATGAATCCCGAGGAGAGTTGTCTGGGCCACATCCTCTGGTGTCTGCAGTGGCAATCTGCTCACCAGAGCCAGGCTCCCCCTCCCAAAGCACCATCTGCCATTTCATGGGGGATCCTTTCCTCTGCCCACCACTCAACAAACACATAGCTGCCCCTTATAGAGCAGCAACTAAAACCGACTTCCATTTCCCATGATCAACCATGCAGGAACTCAGTGCTCTAACCATCAGCTATTGTTTCGTGATAAGATCAGTAGGCATGCCTACTGTGGAGGAATCTGTTTGTCTTATGACAAACAAATTGGTGTTGTAAAATATAATTATACCATTACTCACAATCAATGAAAAACTGTCACACCTTCACATAACTTTGGGTATTAGTTATCCTCAAATTAAACATTGATCAGTAATCTGAGGTAAACCACAGATTTTTATGTTTTTCCACCCATGACCAAGTCTTTCTCACTTAACTGGTTCTGGTCTTCTGCCCCCTCTTGAGGGTTTTGCTATCAGATTAATTTGTTGATTTCTCTGCTCTACGCCCTCACATAAGCACCCCTCCTAGGTGGATACGGCCTGCAGGTGACTCTGCTGAGATCTGTGGCACCTGTTGAAATCAGTCAGCTTATCTAGTTCAGTAGCATGCCACAAATGATAAGCCTACACTTCTTCAGGGCGAACCTGACCATTCACCAGATGGAGGCACCTTTTATCATCCCTATGTAGGGAGGCAACCCTCACGTCTCCCCAGATCCAGAAACTAATAATAAAATTCACCTATGTATGTGCCAAGATCTTTTGTTTCCACCTTGAAACCTTCTGTCCCTCCTGTATCTCAGGGTGCTGATCACCTCTTGAGAACGTCATGACGTGGTGGAAAGACACTGTGCCAGGCCCTGGTGTCAGAGTGTCAGGCAGACCTGCGTTGAATCCTGGCTCGGCAAACTACCGTCTGTTCAACTTGGAACCGGAGCCGCTTTCTGTGCTTCTTTTCCTCACTGCAAAACGAAGATCAAAACAGCTCCCTTATAGAATGATCAGGAGATCGATAGTACACTGGACGCAACTTACATGCAGAGGTGCTCAGTAAATGTCGGTGCCCCACATTCTCCCTTCTCCTGGCTGCACCTAGTCCTATTACCCTACCAATATACTTCTCCACACAAGAAACTGCCAGTTTCTATTATTCTCCTCTAATAAAACTTCCCAAATCCTACTTTTATTCTGCTTCTTCTATCTACAATCTCAAGCTGATAAGGTTTGTGGGAACATAGGGACAGAAATATGTTCTTGGTAGATCAGTTATCTGGGACCCCAGGTTGAAAAAAAAAAAGAGTTGTTTTTTTTGAGAAATATAAATAAGGTAGTAAATTAGAACACACTATATGAAAAGAAATTTATTAATATGCATTAAGAGCTTTAAAATATTCATACTTTTTG